GTAGAGTCATCTCTTGTGTTGTTGGAAAAGAGTATTTGCTATGACCAGCTTGTTCTTTTGACAGAACTCTATTAGCCTTTGCCCTGCTTATGCTCCAAGGCCAAACTTGCCTGTCATTCCAATTATTTCTTGATTTCCTACTTTAGCATTCCAATCCCCTATGATGAAAAGGACATCTGTTTTTGGTGCTAATTCTAGAAGGTGTTGTAGATCTTCATAGAACCCATCAGCTTCAGCTTCTTTGCTATTAGTGGTTAATCACTTTGGTCTGCATACCTTGAAGTTTTAGAAAGCTACAAAATGAGATTAGGTGTTTTTCAATTTCTTCCTTGGATCATTTGCAGTAGGCATTACTTCAACTTCACTCAGCATTCCCACACTGTGCTTCTTTCCTATTTATGAAGTTATTTTCCAGGGTGTACCAAAATTCAGACTCCATAGGCCAACAGATGATATAAAGATCATCCCATTAAAATTTGCAAACATCAGAGAAAATGTTACTCTACTTAGGAATGTTCAAAGGTCATGCATCAGACTAGTAAAGTTGCGTTTAGCAAAAAAAATGGCAATCAATTTGAACATTTAATGTGATTTATATAATAAATTGTGTATGGGGCCTGATTTTTGGTACTTCTTTTCTTAGAGTATGCAACACAGTACATTTGGGTTATATTTTGGCTACTGAGGTAACATTATTGAATTGCTGAGATGTAGGAATAAAAGAATTAAGAAGTTGCACTTGTATAGTTTAGCATGATTAAATTAATCAAAACCATTCTTCTTCCAGTGTTTATTGTAAAGAAACCATATTCTGAGAATGGCCCAAACAAGTTATTTTTGGACTCTAAATACTGTTCAGAATTCTGTTGATTGGTGAAAACTGGTGAAAAAATTTGGATAAGTTTCCAGGCCCATGCAGACTTCTAATAAACAAATTAAAAATGATACTAAGGAGGGAGATAAAATTCAAAAGTAAGTTCCTATAGAAATAACAAAATCCGTAATGTAAAACAGGGTGAATCATGGAAGAGTAGTTAAAAGTTATTCAACCAAATAAAATCTGAGCACTTAAGAAATAGTTTGTGTGGGCACTACGTGAGCTCTTCTGAGAATGGCATTTCACACGCAAATAAAAGTGATCTCTCTGACTACTGCCTGATTATCTCAGATGGTGATGCTACCAAGAAGTGGGCTGTGATGGAATGACTCAAGTAGTCAGATTCAACAGAGTGGAATTGGCACTGGCAGATTGATTGAACCTCATTCCAAATCACTGCATGGTTTCACTCAGAGGCTTTACATCAAATAGCATTAAAAAAAAAAAAAGATAAAACGATTACAGATAATAGTGCAGTGCAATGGGCCAGAATAGGGATCCTCAGTATACTTTGGAAACAACCATCCAGGTAGGACTGGAACGTACAATAATTTCAGATTTTAACTTTAGTTTATCATGAAAAAGACTGTAGTTGGTAGAATTTCATCTATGGTTAATAAACTTAAAGCTGCTAGAGAGCAATAAGGCTTTGAGCCAGAGCCTTCTCCCTGCACATGGAGCTTTCAAAGGAAGAATCTCTTGAATCACTTTCCTATACAAATCAGTTTGCTTTTGGACCAGGGCCTTAACTGTGTAGATTGGCAATCTGTGATACTTCAGATCCTCTTAAGATCTCCTTGCACTTTCTTCAGAAAGGGATAACAGACCTCCCTTAACTCCAAATTTTGACTGTTTGGAACTATCTGTTTGGAGCTATTTGAAGATGTGCATCTTTATTCTGATCAAGCCATCTTCAGGGAATCAATCATAGTTTTGGGGATTCATGCTTATGGTCAGGATAGTACAGCAGTCAAACAGCATTCAGCTCCTCCTTTTCTATAAACAATGGATTGGATTCTAAGATTAGTGAAGTCAATGAAGTTCATGAAAGGAGATTTTTCTCTCCTACTGAAAAGCTTCTTTGAATGGAATGGGAATCCTGTTGAACTATGCGGGCAGTCCATGGCAGTAGTGTGCTGGAGCTGGCTTGTACCAGCTCGAGAAAGCCAACTGTTAAATTTTCTGGAATTTTGTGAGCTGGTTGAGAGCAGAGCTGAGCTGTGACACCTAGCATGATGATCAGTTGTTTGGTAGCTAGCAGCATGGCAGTGGCAATGGAGCTGGCAGAGCCAGTTGTTATACATTTACCAGCAAACCACTGGTCCATGAGAAACTATGGTAAGAAAATGAATTGCTGGAAACTGGGTGAAGACAGCAAAAATTTGAATGATTTTTTTCTTTTAGCAGTTCACATGTCTAGTGCAAATTGTTCAGAAATCTTCCTTTGATCCTCTAAAGGTGGTTTTGGAGAGCACAAGTAGCTGCTAGAGGGAGGAGGATATAGGAAAAAATTATGTATTTTGCCTTCCTTAAAATACATTTTTTAGAATACAAGCTAGTGGTTTTGATTCATTCTTTTTCATCACTATCACACAGTTTTGATTCTTGTTTCAATACTGAGTACTTCCGTGTAAAAAATCTGTAATACAGGTAGTCCCAGTTTAAGAATGAGTTACATTCCCAAAGTCTGTCCTTAAGTCGAATTTGTATATAAGCTGTAACAGTATTATAATACTGTATAAGTAATATTGTGTAATAAACTCGAACCATTGTGTACTTAACTCGAATCGTATATTTAACTCGAATTTTGTTACAATAGGCTCCGTTCTTAACTATGGGTCATCTGTAACCTGGGCGTTCTTAACCCGGGGACTATCTGAATTTGAAGCAGCGCAGAGAACCCATTAAGATTACCTTGTTTTTATTAGCTATTTTTATAACCGTATTACAGCAAATGATTTCTGTACCCTGAACAGATTTTAAAGTTAAATGTTGGAAGCGATCTGGGCAAACTAAAGTTCCTTGCTCAGATATTCTTTTCCCATACTGTTCATGCTATGTAGTTGCTGAAACTGACTTTAGAACGGTCCCACCAGTTTCTCTAACGGTGTACTTTGGTTGATTTCCTGTGAACCTTTTTTGTTATTTTAGTATACTGAAATTAGGTAACAAATTTAAGGCCAGGTCTGCTCTTCTCACAAACATGCACCTTTTCATAAGCTAAAAAGGAGGTAGCTTAAAAATCAAGCAAACCTCTGATTATTCTATGATCGTCAAGGAATAAACATTAATTCAACAGAATTCTATCTTCAGAAGGAGCTTCACAAGAAATTTATTAAATTGAGACATATGACACCTTAAAGCCTAAGTGAGTAGAATGTTTGCTCTGGATGGAGGAAGGTGGCTGGTTTTGCAACCTCTCTATTTACACCCAACAATTATTGCTGATAACCAAAGAGATAGACTAAAACACCACTATGGGATAATGCTAACACCATCTGGCAGGTCAGGTGCTACTAGCTTGATGAATAATGCTGTCATCAGCACTCAAGAGTTGATGGAAAGCTATTGCTTTAGTAATTAAGCTGCTTTCAAGTATTCTATATAATTTGTTCCTGTCCCTACAAACCACTATTAAAAATATTTTATTCCTTTATAAAGATTAATAGCTCCCTTGTTACCTTTAAGTGATTCTGCTGTCTCTTTAATATTGAGTATGTTTCCTAACACTTGCTATTTATAATTACCAGAATGAAATGGAATATATTTGTCATCTAGGGCCTAATTCATACTCAGAATATGACAAATCTAGGAGACTTAAGCCAAGATCAGGGATCCTCCTTTACTGTAGAAATAATACTTAATATGAGCTGGAACCTAAATATGTAAATGTATAAGCAGTTAAGTCCTACTTGCTTATTTACTATGCAGTTAATTCCTAAATACTTTATCTGCGGAATGGGGACATTTGTAGGACCCAATTTATATTTAAATTAAGTTCAGAATATAGGAGGCTGAGATAGGTTGTATGAGCATAATCTAACTATTGTTTGTAAGGCTATACAGAAGTACATTCTAAGTGTTGAATTTGGTTAATTTTATTGTGTTACTTTCTATTGATTTCTATTGATCATTTTGATTTCCCCCCATCTTCTAGGATACTAATTATCTCACCTTACTTTGAGTCATCAGATTTGAGAAGCATTAATCCTTCAGAATATGAATATGATTGTTGATTTTTCTCAAACCAAAAATGATCAAGGTCTCTAAGGCATACAGTATAGCAGAAAATCCTGATAATGCTCCCAATTTACTACACTTCATTGATATTCTAAAATCTGAGATAGCTTGTCTAACAGAGCTTTTGCACACAAACATGGTTCCCAATATTTACATGTCACTCTCCTTATTAGCATATGACAGATTCTGTCAAATGGGTTAAAGAGAATATTACTGTTTGCTTATTAAACTCAAGATTCTACAATATATTACTGTCTATAGCAGTAGAGGCACTATCAGGGTTGCAAGACATTAAAATATTCCTTTTCTCTCTAGTTTCAAGAGTATTTTAAATGCTTTTCACAATGTGTTTTAATGAGTATTTCATGTATAGGATATTTGCACATGAGACTTTTTCCTCTGAAGATAGGTTTCTTTTATACTGAGCCATCCTTATACATCCTTGTTTGTTGTGAGTTCTCATGAATGATCAAGCTAAGGCAGCATGCAAGAACTTAATGTATGCAAATAACACTTCAGCTCCCCCTCTCTCTTCTGGCATCTGTCTTCCAAGGAGAACAGAATGTAGCAGAATCTTCTATGGCTTAATTGCTTTACTATCCTGAGATTAACTGTATATCGGTCTGCAATAGTGTTGTTTCTGCTAATACAATAGGGTGCCTGTCCTCAACTTTAGTGAGGTGTGTAGCTATTAATAAATTCCCTAAAAAATTAATCAAGGGCTTCAATTAAAACTTAGCTGGTAATAACTTGAATTTCTTTTCAAAATCTTTGGATATCCTCTGGATATCTGCATTTAGTAGACAGAATTGGATCCTTCTCTTCTGCTGGTTATCAGGTAGGCAAATTCCACACTATGCCTTCTTTGCAAAGTGATTTCTATGCCAACTCCTCTGACGTGGTCTTGAATCACTCTGGTAACTGCATCTCTTTAGCACCCCAAGACTGTATAATTCCATGTTGGCTTGCTTAGCCTTTGTTCTCCTGCTTTGAGATTCCAATACTATGAATTTCCTACAAGCTTCTTAGCCCCTTTCAACTTACCCTACCCATGAAAGACTATGTGAAAAACCTTATCTGGTTTTTCCCAGCTCTTTCCCAGGTTCAAGTTATCACCACAAGTACAATCTAGATCACATGATAGGATGACAGAGTGAATTTACTTTCTTCATTTTGTCACACTGTTTATAAATTATAGAAGGATGGGTCCCTGCCCAAAGACTATACCATCTAGAAGTCAACACAAGTAAGTTAAGAGAGGAAGGCAAGGGGAAACGGTGTAAATCACAACCAATATGTAATTATTTCTGAAGAAATTCTGATTTATTTTTATAAATCTGGATAACACCACTGAAATTTTTAATCCTATAGTACAGATCACTTGTTCAGCTAAGACATTAAATAAGGCTTACCTTTTTTATGTAAGAGGTTCTTTCTAGCTCTAATGAAAGCTATAATATCAGCATCAGTTTGACGATCTCCTGTGAAGGGGATGGTAGAACTTGGATCTGGTGAAATCCTGAAATAACCAAGTACATTTACATTTTCAGGTGAGTTATCTGTTGTCTTTGCTGTTCCAGACTGAGTTGAATATTGAACTTCCTTATCCAGAGCATCAGTTTCATCCATCTGACTTCTGCTTATTTATTTCACCTAGGTTAATATAGGATTCATTGACAAATGCCACTGAAATGAATGGAGGTTACATATTCTTTTTGATTCTAAAAAGCTGCTTTGGGACATGGGGGTGTGTGCTGGAAGCTCTGGTCTGCAGCTCCTTAAAGCAGATGTATCTTCTACCAGATGTATCTTCTTCCATCTGTCCCCATATACTCCAAAGTGCCTTTATGAAATCAAATCTGAAGCACTGATGGTTGCAATCAACAGTGCCTGGGGGACTATGAGCTCTATTGCCTTTTCTTGGGATAATCAGTTTTAAAGAAGGAATTTACATGTAATCATTCTCCATGTAATCAGAAGCTCCAGCTGACTGCATATAGTCTCCCTGATTTAGACCATCTACCTGATTTATAGACATCTGGATGCAGCGCTAGCAATCGAGAACTGTGACAAGGGAGCAAGGGCAGCATGCACAGCCCCATTCCCTACTCCACATGCTGTCTTGTGAGGAAGGCAACTTTGGTGAATACACTAGATTCTCAGAACCTGTAGCTATGGCATACCTCACTTTTGAAGCTGAGTTGCTGAGTCTGTTCACATTGCTCTTTACAAATGACTCTTCATTGGCGCTGGCTCTGCTGTTATTTGGAACCCTGGAAAGGGAAAGAATTGAACTCATTTCAGCTTGTCATAACAAAACTGTATTTTACGAATGGTATTTTCTACCCCAAAAATGGATAAAAACTGAAAATAGTATTTCATTTCATGAACATTTCACTTCAAAAACTAGTTTGGTGTGATACAATAGACAATATGATCACAAATTGTTCTTTTTAAGGCCTAACAAATGGAACTTAAATTAGAACATAATCTTTTACATTATAGCAGCCTCAGTTCCTTTTCCTGTGCTCTTTGGAATAAAACTGTTAATTCAGAGGGAAACTGTATGCCATCACGGCAAATTCTGGTATGGAAACAAAGAAACAAGATGTCTTAAGTTGCTGGGCAGAGCGGTAACATAATTGGATTGGCAACACCACAGATGTGGGGGGAGGGCCATATATACCCCTCACGCCATTTTGTTCCCTTTTCATCTGTAGGCTGTGTATGAAAACTGAAAATTCCAGAGAACCAAAAGCAGCTCTGCTGAGGATGGGAAAGAAGAGCAGTCATTTAGATAACAGTAACTAGGAGGGGAGTTAGCTTAAACCTAAACAGTCCCACGGCTAATTGACTGGCATAACTGATTTAGTTTTCCTATTTGCTTGACAAGCTACTTTCCCAACCCAGTTAAAGGCCCTGTTCATGTGACATGTTTATCTCTTTTCTCCTATACTCAGTTTCTTCTTGTCTTACCAAAAGATAGTTGTGTCACTGCTGATGCAGCCATAAACTGAAGATAAGGTAAATTAAGAGAATGCCACACAACAATTTACAGCATGAGACACCAAGATGCATTGGAATAGTGTTATTACAATAAGGAACAATAAAATTTTGTTTCCTTTATGTATCTGAATAATAGTTATTCTGGTGAGGGCCTACTTATCAATCATGCTGTTATTAAGTTATAATGTAAATTGTATGAACATTCCATTTTGCAATCATATCTAGAGAAAACATAATTTGCCTGCATGAGATTCTACACTGTTCTTACTCTAATGCACACTTTAAAACTATACAATAATTATTAGTCAAACCATAGAGCTTTTATTATGAAAATAATCATTAACTCTGCTCAATTACATTTAAATTCATGAAGATGAGAAATTAAGACAGTGAAAATCTAAATATTTTGACAGCTGAAAACAGCAAATTAGCCTTATCTAAATACATTTATCAAAGAGACTTCATCAGGATATTTATCATTATTTTAAGTAATTTAGTCTGAATATTTAGTTCTTTTTCTTAACACTATAATGCATTCTGTCTCTCTAATTCAGCTTGGAAGGTTTATATGCACAATGAAGAAGAAATATCACTTTCTGAATCAGCAGAGATATGCTTAAAACATTAAAAAGAAATCTGTATGTTTGAGTTAACCTCATACACTCAACTTTCAGTAAGCACATATTTTTATACAGGTGGACCTCATTATCTGTCAGGGTTACATTCCAGCACATGACAGCAGATGACAAATCATGGATAACAAGAATTTGCACATATGGGAACATGGGGAGGCTCCAAAGCCCCAAAAAATGACTGATAAATTACTGAAAATACAAAGAAAAAGCAGAAAC